ACCGTTCACCGTGTGATGCTGCAGAGCATCGAGGGCGTCGTGGTAATACACGATAGACAGTGCCAAGGCGAGGTGTGATCAGCAGCAGCGGCCGCCAATTCCGTCTAGCAGGCGGGCGACAAGCTTTCATGAGGGCTGGATCGAGCGTGGAGCGCGTTGAGATGTGGTTTTGACGAAATGTCGTGACGCGCGAGAGGGCGGTGAGGTGGTGCGTTGAGGTGGATTCGCCCATTCAGCCCTCCAGGCGAACGGCTCGCAGCTACGAGGGCCGGGCAATCCCGGTTTCATGTCGTTCGAACGGAGACGATCCACGACCACTCAAACCGATGGATGTTGCGCATCTGAGGCAGCCAATGGCCAGGCGACAGGCTATTATTACGACCCGGACGACGTGATCAGCATCAGGGTGGCATGGCGGCAGGGTGAAGCAGTGTGGACGCATGGCGAAACTGTCGCAGACTCGGCCTCGGAGGGCAGGCCTTCCCAGCAGACTACTTGGACGTGGTCGCAGTCCCGGTGCAGACAGCAGCATGGCAATGGCAGTGTTGCGGCTGGCAACGAGGGCGTCTGCATGCAGCCACCCAAAGTATGGTGTGGAGGCTGCGTCACCACGACAGCGACCACTTGACGACAGCCAGGAGCTTGAGGGCGGCAGAGCAGCCCCTCGGCCAACCACTAGGTGTTGGAGGTTGACTGGGCAGCGACGGATGCGGTGCGCGCCCAACGATTAGACGCATTGCATGAAAGAGCTAGCCCGCTATAAGGCAGTTTATAGTACCACGCCGTTTTGAATTTTACGGGCGGGGGAAAACTTTCGTGTGTCGAAGCCCGAACAACGCCTGCATGCCTGTCTGCTGCACACCAAGTCGCCCGTCATACTCTGCAGCGCCTCGCATATCCCTCATCCCTCTGCCTTCCTCGTCCCTCCGCTCTGATCTTCTTTCCCCTTCACCCACACCACGCCCCCGCCGCCTTGATGAGACGGTAGCAGCCAGCCCTATGCCCGTGCGAATAATGCGCTTTCGCCGTCTCGCCTGATTGATTGCTTGTCCAGGATCGCCCCGCGACGCTTTATTATCGATAGAGCGCGCTGCTGGAGCCGCTAGATATTTTGCCGACTCCTGTCTTCTCTCTCCCCAAAACAAACGCTGCTACTACTGCTGCTGCCGCTGCCACCATGGCGGAACTGCAGCCTACTGTCGAGGACTGCTACTCGGATGACAGCGAAGGCGGCTCTATCCCCTTCCAGGGCCGCCGGTCGCCCAATGCCGCTAACGTCTCCACCAAGCGCTCGCACCCTTCCGACTTGGATAAACAAATGCCGCCCGCGCAGGAGAGGGCGCCGACCAACATCGACCTTCGCTCCGACTCAGGGTACAGCAGCTACACCACCGCCACCGTCAGCAGCACTAATTCCGCTCAAAGTGCTCCTCCCCAGCGCAGCCCGCCCCAGGTGCCTGCCGCCGCTGCCCCAGCGCCTCCCCAGCCTGAGGCTCCAAAGGCCCGACGACGCCCGACGGACACGACCGAGAAGACTTCCAAGTCCTCTTCGCGACCCAAGCCCTCTCGCACCGCTTCGTCTGCCTCCAAGCCTCCTGCTGTTGTCCAACCTCAGCCACCGGAACGTAAACGCAGGCCGACCGTTACCCAGGAGTCCCGCCCGGAGCGCAGAGATCGTCGTGACAGCAGAGTTGAACCGGATGGTGCCGAGCCTAGACGCACCAAGTACGACCCCAACGCCCCTGCCTCAGCTGTCCGTCGTCGCCCTGACATACTACCATCGCAATCCGCTCGCGACGTGCGTCCCATTCCACAAGACACACGCTCAATGCATTCTGATCCCGCTTCCTACCAGCAGGCTCCGCCCTCCCCTACGCACTATCGCCAGTCCTATCACGCAGGAGCCGCCGTCATCCAGCCAGCCACGACACGTCCTCGTCGCCCGTCGGCCGCTACTCGACCCATGAGCTACAGCGGTGAGCCTGGGGCCCAGTACCACCACTGGGCCCATGGTGCGCCTGGATACCCCCCTCCACACCACGAGCATGGTCCGCCTCTTTCCCAATCTGCTCAATTCCGGCAACCTTACCCCCAGATGGCTCATCCATCCATGCCCTATGGGACGTCGCCTGGCTACCCCCCTCATTACTTGCAGCAGATGCCTCAATCCTACGACGCAATGCAGAGGCCGGGAATGGTGCCACGGCAGTCATTCAATACCGCACGCACAGCACCTCAACCCGCTGTCATCCAAGCTCCCCGCGAACAGCAGCAATACTCAACGAGGCGCAACCAGCCTCAGGGTACATACCCTAATCAACTCCAGATCCAGGATGAAGCCTATACAAGCGATAGTGAATCCGAGACGGGATCGTCTGATGGAGAAGGAGACTATGAGCGGGAGCCTGAGATCGATCCCGAGGACCCACGTGTCCGCCGTGCGCTCATGCCCCCGCCCCCTCAGAAGCTTTCGCGGACCAAGTCCAAGTCAGCGACTAAGCCCAAGACCAGGAAGGCGGAACGGCCTATCTTGTCTCATGCTCACACTACCACAACCGTAGAGCAAGTTCGCAGCCACCGCCATTCGCTGTCGACTCCTCCTGTTGGCGCCGACGACCGCTCCAGCCGTCATCGACCTACCAAAAGCACTAATGAGGCGTCTCGCCGGCAGTCCATCAGCCGACCTCCACCCCCACCGCGCGAAACACAAACCGAATACCCCGCACGGCGTGGTTCGGTCTATGTGGGCGATAGCACTAAGGCTGAACGGCGTCGATCCGCTCACTACGGACACTCTGCCCAAGAAAAAGCATATGCGGAGTACGCTCTTGTGAGGCAGCAGGAGACGCGCCTCGCAGCCGAAGAGCAAGCCAGGCAAGAAGAAAAAGCCGCCAGACGTCAAAGGAAAGCTGAAAAGCTTCTCGAGGATCGCTTCCAGACTGAACAGGCTGCAAAGGCCGAGCAAGAGCGCAAACGCGAGAAGCGCAACTCGAAGGTTTACTACCAGACTCCTGCAGCGTTGTTCGATGACAGCGAGGAGGAGTACCACTCCGATGAACCCGTCGCTCCCTTCGTTCCCGAAGCGCCAGCTCCTCCCCGCCGGCGCCGTCCTACTGATGCGGGCGGCCGCAAAGCCAAAGAAGTTCAGGCGATAGACTACATCAACAACCAACGTGGCACGGATGTTCCGTTGAACGATCACATCCATCGTGCTGCAAAGAGGGCTTCGAGGGTACCTTCAATGCCCTCTCATTCCGGCTCCTCTGGAAGCGATAGGCAAAGCCAGTCTAATCGCACCGCTCTTACGAGCAACGGCAATAATGAGATTCGCCTCCGTGTTGATGCGAACGCCCCACTCAGCCTGCAGTTCAACGGCGACATGGAGGGTCGCACCATGCAACTCATCCCGACCGAGGACGGCATGGCAGAACTTGTCATCAGTGGAAGTCGTGATAATGAGAGCAACTATCACAGCAGTGAAAGAGGCAGCAACGCAGGTGACGGACAGGCACTTGTAACGCGGAGCCAGCTAGAGGAGATGACCAAAGCAAGCATGCGCAGCGACCGTAGAAGGCGCGAAAGCCGAACAGTACGGGATTCTTACGATGATCGAATTGTTGAGGTGCCACGACCTTTGCGTCGCCGCGCCAACACCAGTTCGCATTATTACAACTAAGGATCTCCGAACCTCAGACACTCGCGCGCGAAAGGAAGATGCGTAGCTCGACTTTGACTCTCTTTCCTGCTGGCCACACGTAACTTCCCATCCTCTGCCCTGCGCGGCAGATCTCTTTGTATCTTCCTTTTTTCTTGGGTGGATGATTTCCATATCAAAAGCTTTCTACGAGCGCGGACATGCCTGTTTGGCAGACCTGCTCAACAAAAAAGTTTGGATCGGTTTATTCTTCGCAAGTTCCATTTTGGCACTATTGCCCACTCGCATTTCATGTTTGTATGCTTGCTGCGTTCCCTGCGACAGTGCAGGTCACATTGTTATGGTTTGCTAGACTGGGACGCTCACGCACACCAGCATCCAATGCGTAAGGGCGGCCACTGCCATTGAACTTCTCGTTTGGACCGATCAGATTGTACGGTTATCTTCTTCCTGCCTTTCGTCGCGCCCTTTTTTGAGCGTTCCCCACCTTATTCCCCCCTTCTTCTTACTTCTTCTTTACCCTGCACTATACCTGCTCCTCGCGGAGGCTTTTCGGCACTTTTTTCTCGATTTTGGCGGATGTAATACCCTTATCTCCTTTTCTACTTGTTATGGCTGGATCATGTACGTGGCAGAAATGTTTGGTGGGGTTTCCTTTTTTTCGTTCCGCTATTTCGCAAAAAAAGTAAGCAGAGGTCGATGTGTTGGCAACGGCTACGACGCTTATGATGACGGACGTATGGATCATGAACTACGCAGCGATGGATCTTTCTCTCTCTATTCCTTATTTACATAGCTGAGCTGGGATGGATGGATGGCCTGATGGGATTTATTCAGATCGGATACTGCAGCTAGCCTGCTGGTATCGTGTAGGATATGATCACAATCACATCTCTTCTACCCTCCTCACCGTTACCCTGTACTGGTTCACCGCAAATGTGATGCAGGACGCCAGCACTGACCGAGCTTGCGTGCATGCTTTTGTCTGACTGCATAGGGCGACGACCTAATTCGGTCTACAGCACTTAGTCGTTTCACCCCCACACTACAACTGCGGGAATGACGCTACCCACTGTTCCTTTTTCCCACGATTCCAGACCGTGGCCTCGGTACGGTAAGGAAAATGGAAAGTGCCGGTACTGTACCCATTGGTGTTGGCGTGGGCCTGGTTGCCGAGTGTTTCCGGTGTGGCTGGCCTGTCCGCCTCGCTTGCCTCACTTGTGCTGGGCGAGTGAATGCATGTATGGTAGATTGATGAACACGTGTCGGGGTGGGAAATGAGATACACGTAGACAGCACCGGAATAGACATAGCCAGTTAGTCGAGAGTCAAGGGTCTCATTGCTCTATAGCCTCGATGCGTTGTTGGCGACATCGCTGGGTCCCAGCATTGGCTCTGTCTGTTGTTCCTGGACGGAACGCCGTGGGGAAGGTAGCCTTCGTTCGCTTTCCAAAAGTGCACTGTTCGCATCGTCTACTTCTCCGCTTTGAATCGATGACTCTTCATCCGCGTGCCCCATTGAGGTACCTTCCTCGGGTCCATCAACCCATTCCACACCCTCTGCATCCACGAGTTCAACACCCCACCTAACATCTCCCCGCGCGTCTCTAAACCAACCCAGTCTAGTCAGTCTACCACTCTTAGCAAAGCCTTCGATACCCTGCTCTTCAATCAAACCGATCAGCCCCTCGCTTCCAGCAACCATAGCCAGTACGTCTGCCAAGCACTCGACGCGATGTTGCATGCATGAGCTCGGATATACGATCTGCAAGCTCACAACCAGAACAACCAGGATAACAATAAGTAGGATGAGTATGGTAAGCGAGAGCCACGTTGCTGTCTCATTCATAGCAAGAACTTCAACCCGTTTCGTAAACGTCCCATTCACAGGCTGTGACGAGGCTCGCTGGTAGGCTGCTCTCTCAGGCCCTGAAGATGACCAGCGCCCGCTGAGACTCGACGACCCGCTATTGACAAAGTGTTTGAAGAAGATTTGTAAAGTCTTCTCGGAATGTCGCAATAGCGTTGTTGCATTTAGCAGGGATTCGGTGTCTTTGTTGGCAAGGTTCCAGTTTGCGTAGGACATGAAGTCGACGTTGAGGCCACGATCCCGGTCGCGAATGTTGAAGCGTTCGCTTGCTGTTTCTTCGATGCTGCGGTTGTAGGATAGCCAGGAATGTGCCATGTGAGGTGTGATGATGTGTGGGGCGGTGAGGAGCTGCGTCATGAATAGATGGCCGTAACTAGTAGCGGTGGTGGTTAGCAGTTGATTCGTGATGAACACGCTCGAGGTAGCCACTCAATTAAATGGATGTCTTACCTGACATTTCCTCTTCCTGTGTAGGATGTTGGACTAGGGTACAAGATATCCCAGGCGTAATCCCATGCGTCCAGAGCAGGCTGTGGGTCCGCCACCAAGCTGTAGTCCAAAACGTTCCCAGAACTCCTAGCTACAGTAACACTGGCGGATGTATTTTCGATGACCATGATACAGTCCATTATAGCCATCTTGGGCTCTTCCGTGAAGTAGAGAAGCTCTTCATCTGCAGAGCCGTACGGTGCGCTAATTTGTTGTACGTTCGGGTTCGCAGCTGGATTAGCTCCAGATATCTTCGCAGTCACACCTGGCCCCACGATCCACTTTATGGTAAAGTTACGGTACCAAGAGCCTTGAACGATAACATCTTCTGGTCCATCCTCGCTGAGGGGATCAGACGGCGCATTGGCACTCGTGCAGTTGCCATTAGTAAGTTGTTCATAAGTGCATTCTTGTATGAAGAAATTGGGATCCACACGTTCAATCATTGAGCTGTTGCTGCTCCAATACGCAACGACAGCTTGCTGACCAGGATCCGTGCCATTCGCACAGCATGATAACCGTCTCCGGGCCGAGAACACAGAGGTATTGTACGATTCGCCGTCGAATAGAGTAGTTGGTAATGCAAATCCTTGTAGCGCTTCATTGGTACGATCGGGAAAAACGTCTGCGGCTTGGTCAAGCCAGCCGGAGTCTGGTACGGCAATCGGAGAGCACTGTAATCGACTTCGGATAGCGGACGTGATGAAAGACGCGTTTGCGGGTGACGCTATAGAATCGGAGCTTGTATATCTCGCAGAACCGGAACGCGATTTCGAGGATACTGTGACGTTTGGCAGCTCTTGCATATCAAGTGGGGTAAACGTCCATTCGTCCTTAGTCCACGCCAGTTGCGGTGCTTCTAGAAGGATCTCGTCCAACGCATGGTTCAGCCACTGAATATTGGATGAGTCTAACATATGCTCGTCTAAGTCGAAATTGCGCGTCCGTTCGCCTGGGTTGGAAAAGTCGATAGGCTCTTGTAGAAGCTCAAAAGGTGCTGTCACCCAAAGTGTATCAATATGTGATGGGTCCCAAGTGTCCCGACTAATCAATGCGGTCTGTCTTTCGAAGATGGCTGCCATGGAGATAATGACTACACGATTAGCTACACGACTCAACGGAGCGAGAAAATGCTTACGGATTTGTGATAAGGTTGTACCAGTAGTTATCAGACAAAGCATCCAATGTTTCCGCGACACTGATTTTGCCGCGGCCCATATCCAGTATGAAGACTGGTAAGTCAACGATGCTCCTCGTATTGGGACTACGGGTTTCCGCGACAACGAGAGATATGGCTGCAGAATCCGCATAGGTTTATCGATACCATCCCAACTCAATCCAATACAAACGGCGATTAGCGTTGCAATGACAGAGTGAGGAGAGAACGACGTGTCGAATAAACCCAAATCGACCTGGTAGGTAAAAGCAGTCTGGGAAAGCTTGTCTTCTCGTGCATATCTGCGAAGAACGAACATGATTGTTGCGATAGCGATCAGAGTAGCCAGTAGTGTAAGAAGCCATCGTTTAAGGAGCATTGAAGGCCTCCAGTCATCTTGAGAGCCATCTTTTGATCTGGGATGGCTTACTGAAAGCTCGCTTGTCTTGCCGAGTACATTCGGCTTTCTACCTTCAATCGACTCCCCTGTCGTTTCCTTCTCCGAGATGATGCCGCCTTGTAGATAATAAACCCGTGATTGGATAAGACCTTGCGTGCGCGATCTTTCATATCCAAGGAATGTACTGAACGTGGTAGAAGAAAGCGAAGTACTGCCAAGGAGGGATGATGTTCCAGCAACGGTGGCAGGATCTGAATGGAGGTTGAGTGGCCTTTTCCTGGGCGATGTGTAGAATACAGCTACTGCAATGTAGCCTGCCAAGAGCATGAACAATACTGCGAGTGTTATTGCAACCTCAGTGACGACCAGAATCCGTCTCCTAACGCGTGTAGCAAGCCCTTTTGTATCTTCCAATTGTGGGTTGTCGGCTTCTATGAGAGAAGAGAGCAAAAGCTCTTTTGTGAAGTGCATCCGAAGTTTGCTAGCTTCTTCCTCTAACGTGACGTTCTCCAAAATATTGGACACGTTGTGAGCGAAAGTTGAAGCAAGAAGCAACGATATACCCTCAAAAGAACCATGAACATTACGAGGTACGGCCATGTACTGGAGGTAGAGGTACGATGTCAGTATATGTCTCGCATGCACTTCGTACAGTCAGAACTTACCTTGTCCCAACTGTCACTGCGAAAAGTGAGATCATCCAATAAGTCGAAATCGATGGCTTGTTTCGACACAGGCTGCCTGCGTCGCTCAAACTCTGATACATCGAAGGACATGGAATTTTCAGCGCCGTCGATGGATGCAGAGACTGGGAGGCTAGCTGTATGATATTCCGGAGTGCATACTTGTGCCCGTATCGTGAGGTTGTCCCATGAGTCTTTCTCCCATACACCCACGGGCACATCGACAGGTGACGGCCGGACAATCCATTGAGGCGATACAAGTAGCAGATCACGCCCAATGCATTGATCGGAGAAACCATAAATGAACGTGCGAGACCATTGCTCGAGGACCTTCTCTCCAATGGAGCGAATTGCTGGAGGCTGACCGTAATCTCGAATAAGTGTCTCCCACGACACGTAATTGGAAGACATGTTGGTCCAGAGCAAGCCACCATCATCTGTAAAGGTATCGCTAATGAAGCCATCGGAGTTCAACTCGGCTCCCAAAGCATCCCATTGAGCGATTGGACCTTGGATTTGGACCTCACAACCATCCTCTGATCGAACTTTGAACCCCTTTGAGGAGACAGTACATGTGTCGTTTGGACATGACGTTATCGGGATGTCTGTATACTTGTAGGTAATATCGATTATGTCCTTCTCGACCAGAGCCATCGATGTGCAACTGTAGTTTAGATGAAACACCTCAGTATCTGCTTGCCATATACCGTTCGGAAGCGTTGCATGGCGCTTGTCGCCATTTGATGCTCCAAAAGGTACAATGACTTGCGAATTCGACGACCAGATAGATGTAGATACGTTGAAGAGATATCCACTTATAGTTCGGAGATACGTATCCCTTCGAGGTGAAAGCTGAATGGGTGACAAGTCTTCGCCAATTGTCTGGCCAGCGGCATACCGTTGAAGCTGCACATCCTCCTGATACAAGATTTCTTTCGCAACGAATACGGACGACGAGAAGGTTGAAATGCTGAGCACACTGATACCAGCTGCGAGCGAAGACAAGGCCAGATTCCATCTCCGGTGGCCGCCGCTCCGCTTTCGAGAGAAACCTACAAAGATGCTTTTCCACCAGACCTTGGGCAGATAGAATAGGGTGAACTTGGCTTCGATAGATTCGGGGCCGGCCATGCGTGCGTATGCTTCAGTCCTCTTTACATCCTCTGCAACCTGGACAACAGCCTGCGTGAAGAAAATGGCGACGATAGTGGGCGTATATCTCCATCCAATGAGTAGCCCAGTAGACCCATCCTCATCTCCGAGTCCATGGTTTTTATAAGAGTGCCAGCTAAGGGCTGCTAATACGGTCGAGAGTATGAGTGATGCTAGGCTAAGAGTGATCAGGTATGGGCGCCGCAGCGTGTATGGTACCCAATCTGTGGATGTCCGCAGGTTTTGATCTTGAAACTTTGCTTTAAGCTCGTCAGAAAATGTGGGACATAGTAACTTGGGGTACTCGGTGTTGCACTCACGCTCATGGGTATCATCGAAGTTCCTTATTTGCGGCTCATCCAGCGAGTGGTCATCGATTGCTCCACTGAGTGCGGTAGATGCTCGGCTGGAGAGAAGCGTCTCGTTTTCCTGAGCAGCATGAGGAGACGAATCGGCGTGTTCGCGTTGCTCTTGAGCTCGGGATTCAGGCCTGCGAGTGCGGTCGACGCCGTCGCCCTGTTCGGCGTGTTCATGCTGCGTGATGCCGCCTAAGGTATCGCTCTCAGGAAGCGATATCCATGAATAACGTTCGCGCGGTTCTGACGATGGACTAGTGTTTGAATGCGACATGCTGTTTGCGCATTAAACTCCGGATTGCGGCTCCCACGCAGGTCATTAGGCAGTCTGACTGGCATTTGTAGATCGCGCAGAGTACCTAGGTATTTGGGGAAGACATGTCTAGAGGCTGAGTGCATTCAGGCAACCGTAGTAACTCCAGGAAGACTTGGCTCCATGTTACGCGCCGCAGATGCAGCGGTCACAATCAGCAGCATAGCCTCGTTACGCCCGGCGACCCACTCATGGCGGCCCAATCTCCGCTGGTTACCTGGCAGAGCCTCTTAGTCTTGGAAGCCGTTAGACATTTAAAATGCGGGCTGTGATTGCCCAGTAATAATGCGAGAGAGATCTGTTTGCATGCGACAAGAAGGAAGTCGCGAAGTGCGGAGGAGATGCCAAGGTTGCACAGGGGGTCAGCGTCAGCGCTAGAGCCCAAAGGGGAAAGCGTTTGGGGGCGGAATTGTCGATCGGCGATCTTTGTGATGTAACACAGATCTTCACCGGAGTGCCTACCTACACAGAAAAAGATAGCATCGCTGTATCACAGCCGACGACAATATTACTCAATACGTGCTTACCCTATCTACCAGCACGAACTCTAAGAGACCTCGGGAGCGTCTGGCTACCGCGGGTCGCACAAGCAAGCATCAAGTACGTGGCTGTTGTGCGATCACGCAACACATGACTTCGAAATCGTATTAGCTATCTCCAAGACTAAGGGTTCTGGAAACGCTTGATGTTACAACAATAGCTGTCGGTTCGCATCGCTTCCCCCTCACTCCAGCACGAACATGGTACCATCCCAGTCATAAACCCGAGCCAGCCTCCTCCCAAAGTTCCTCGCCAGCTTAAGCGGTATCTCGTTACTCGGATGAGGTTGGTGGAAGTGTATACCTCGCTGTAGGTGCTCCAAGCCACCTGTTGGGGTAAACTCCCAGGCTGAGCCGTGCATCTGCTCAGCCGCAAAGCCAAGCTTAGTAAGTGCGCTCAAGAATTCTCCCCATGTAACCTTACCGGGCACGCTGCCGTTTTCATCAGGAATGTGGAAGAGCGCCGAGAAGACGCGATGGGCATTTTGGTCAACCTTATAAGCAGTCTTTCCTTCCAACTCTGGCTCTGGGCCTTGCGCAACTGGCACTGCAGCTGGGCCGGGCTCGCCACGGGTCTTCTCTTTGGTCTTCTCCGTCACTGCAAGCTTGTCGAAGTTGGCGGTGACGTCTTTGGATGAGTCGTGGAAGATTTTTGAAGCTGGCTGGGGCTGAAAGATATCTTCTGGTCGATCAGACTGGTTCGGTCTTGGAAACTTCTCATCCCATGTCTTGGTCCGTCTGATTGCACCTCCTTCGTCGAAGATGCGACGGAGTGCTCTCCTCTGAGGCCGATGACAAAGCTTAGTGATATTCCCGTCCACCATGGCCCAGAAGTCGTCTAGATGTCTCTCAGCTTTACATAGTGCTTGTCGCACTGGCTTTCTAGCGGCGCTCTTTTCGGAAGGGTAAAAGAATTTCTTGTCTTTGGGATCTCCTAGGTCTGTATCCGTAATGAGCCCCTCCTTAGTTTGGAAGACCTTTCCCCAGCCTTGAAACGACCCCATAAGACTGGCTTTATACTGTGCTGGGTCTGATTCCAGGTAGTATACCGACTCAGTGTACCAAGGCTGGATCATCAATCGAAAGGCGCATTCAGCGAGGACTGAAAGCTTCGTCAATATCTGCTCGATTTGGTGACTGAAGAGATTTCTTGCCGCCGGGTTTCGTGAGAGAAAGGTCTCGAGAACGTCCAGGCCATGGTAGAGCTCCTGCCAATCCGCGATCTTTTCACCCTCGTAAGCGCCAGTGATGCTGAACAACATCATATAAGTTTCCCTCAGTAAAGGCTCTTTAAGCATGCTTGGGTTAGTTTTGATATTCCTGTCGTCTCTAACAAAGTGCGTGCGGAACCCGGGGCTTGTACAAACCCCTCTGAGTTCCACCAAGTACAATATCTTCATCTCTTCGAGCAGGAAATGTGTGTAGTCGATGATTTTCACTTCCGACTCTTCAAGTTCGCTGTAAACGATCCCGTTCGGATATATCTCAAGTAGCTTTTCGAGCTCGTGCATCTGATCCGCTAGTTCCTGCCAATACATGAGATGGAAATGCGACCGAAGAACTATACCGTTCAGAGTAAGCCTCACAAAGTTCTGTCCTTGCAGTGCTGGGTGTGTTCTGCCATGCTCGTCTGGCACCATGAACACATCATGGTTTACAGCATCTTCATAGGCATCCTCAAAGTAACCAGGATCTTCCCGAAGATGAAAAGCATGATCTTGGATAGCTTTGGCAGCAGATTTGACAAGCCGGCAAACTCTGCCGATATCCAAGCCAGTGGGTCCTTGGTAATACAACGTAGCTGCAATTTCGGCAAAGGAACTCACAAGCTCTCCACGTCCGACTAAATTGGGTGGTTCCGGTTTGATAGGATAAATGTCGTCCGTCAGCTCTGCTGGGCTAATGGGGCTCAGTATAGCCTCGCAAATCTTGACCAGGGTAGTGTAGACGAGGGATTGTATCAACAAGACCTGTAGACCCTCACCAAGGCCAAGGGCGAGTTTTCTAATCTCTAGAACCTCTACACTCTCAAGGTTCGGCCACTCACGAATCTTCCCGTAAGTCAATTCGCCGTCAAAGCGCATTTTGTTTGTCGGCAAGAGCTGATCATTGACTCGAGCGGTCGGTATAAACATACGCTCAAACGCACCGAAAGCGTATGGGTGGCTTCGGCCTCGTGCATTAAGATATATGAGAAGCGCTTTCGGATCTTTCGCGAGATCTTGAAGGTTGATATATGGTAGTATTCGCTTTGGATCGATGCTGTCTGACGCTTCTGTACTCGTATCAATGCTGGCGTCCTGCGACCCCCTACACATCGACAACCTCTAAGATCGCATTTTGCGAGAGGAAGAAATAAGGCTAGGAAGGGTTGACTTACTGATGCTTTTCGCGGGAGTGGGGACAAATTTCCCTGTAGTATCTTCGAAACTAGAGGAAAGGTGCTTGCCCGCTATGTCAGGCCAAACGCTTAAAAGGAGTTCCCTTCGCTTCGCTTCGGTCGTGTATGACTGTCTATATCTCTTGCGTATAACTTCCTCGTGACGAAGAATTATATCGTGAAGCCTCTGATAGCTTGTCGAAGCCCTCGTAGCATACTCAGTGGCCAAATCCTCGAGTTCGTTCATAGGGTAGAGATCTCCGTGTTTGTGACTGGAGAGGAGCCACTTGAAGATGGATTGCATTTCTTCGTCGGTAACTATAGACATCATTTCAGAAACGCGATCGTGTCGATATACTTCCCGCAGTTGAGAAGGACTAGGTGGGTGGAATACGAGGAGGGCTGGGTATTAATAGACGAGGCGAGCAGAAATCGCAGCCTAGAACCATCGTCGTAGAGTCCGTGACCTACTACAGTTAAAGGCCGCACTGACTAGTCTATACGACATGAGAGTGACGAACTGAGAACGCACTCCAAAGGCTTCTATTCTTCTGCCGGCGAAGGGGGTGCTTTGGGAATAGTGAAGCATCTGATTATACTTATAAATATTCACTCTGCGCTTGCTAGAGGTTGTGTGTGATCAAGAAGAAAACATCATAGTGGTTTGTGGAGTTGCTAGATTGTGGGGATGGTTAGGACAATCAAAAACAGGTACTTCGAAGACGTTAATCGAGATACAAACTTCACCTAAGATGGCTGTAAGAGCTGTATTCTCTCTTTCTTAAAGAAGGCAATCATCCATTATGCCGAGGATAGCTCAACATTTGATGAGCGGCTGTGATACATGTAACTCTGGGAGGATGCCGGGATGCTGCGTCACTTCCAAAACGCCCTCTGGACTCAAATCCAGCGGGCCCCATCTCAGTCCTCCATAAGACGTGAGCTCATAGATATCCTCTCCAGGCTTGGTCTTGGTTTTGAGATACGCAAAAGTCTTTGCATTCTCCTCCGTTGCATCCGGATCCTTGGCTACTGCCCAATATGTCGGCGGTTTTGGAGGTACCTTCCTCTTCGTGAATCTCTGTTTCCGCTCCTCGTAGCTCACACCGGGGATATCAATGTCGCTCCAACCCCGGAGATCATCAACCGTCTCGCCTTCGATCAGGGACAACTTCCAACACGGCTTTCCATTGGAATCGTGGGTTTTTTCGACACGATCTCCGTAGAAAGCCTCTAAGTTACACTCCGTCTCTTCATCGTGGCGATCACGACTGAATTCATCTGTGGATGGGTATACGAAGACAGTGGCTGTAATTGGTTCCACGTTCAAAGAGATGTCGACCTCCCTGTTGTTCCCGTCAGGAGACGGACTTGCAATGACCGCTGGTATCAACGCAAGGAACAAGAGACGAAAGCGCATGATGTGAGATTGACGGAACAAAGTTCTTGGGACAAAATGTATGGAGAAGTTTGGTATTGAAAAGATCGTGGGATCTTTGAGATGTGAGATGGCTCAATGGTAGATAGCAACAGTTTAATGTGTGCCCGCTCTTATAGACATATTGCGACGCTCGAGATTACGATCCTGCTATACTTGGAGTTTTACTTCGCCGTCTTGATGTCCAAAGAAAGACCATGTCCAAGCGTAGAAGTCGGCGCCTAGGAGCTATGACCGCATACCTGTCTTGAGCACTATCCATGATGAGGTCGCTTTAGAGCTAATTCGAATGAAGCACAGTGAATCTGCGACCGGGATCGATGACAACCGATGCAAACTTGTGGCGGCGGCACCTACTGTCAGTGGAGAAGTGGGGGGGAAAGTGATGAGGTTCCGTGCCGTAATGTGAGCTCATTTTACCCGTGAAACGCTAGGCGATTATGTCAGACAGCAAGACCGACGTGATTGGCCCACTGTGGCCCCACTCTGACACGCCCCAAAATAGAGTAGGCTCACTCATTTGCACTTGCATCTGTATCCTTCTCTCCGCCTTGCGTAGAGATATTCCAAGCGTGCGGCGCGGCAGCCTCGTGTGCGTTACACTCGATTGCAGTGTCGTTCTGAAACGAATTACTGCTGTCAGCAATGTGCCGCTGGCGCTGGCCGTTATTACGTAGTTCACGCCGCAACACCAGCCTGAGTGCCGCGTCGCCAAAGCGAGATCATGTTTCCTGTCCTCATAGGCCTATCGTAACGCGCATGGCTACTGAAGACTGAGTGGATATGGAAGTATAGCGTTGAGCTGTTTCGGTAATGTTCTTACATGCCTTCTACCACGACGATTAAGTTTGTACTCACAGGATACTACGCTAACAGTCCACCAATCACAAGAACATGCATCTTCAGCAAGACACGCGAACGAAGGGTTCGTCCACCCAATGCACATGACCTTTACGCTAATGTTAGCGCGAAAGATAGTGGTTCTTCAGCATCCTCCCCCAGATAGTCGCACTCAAGCAAGCTGAAACATATCCCCTTTCCATCCGTACGTCCTCGCTAGGCGACAACCAAAGCGTCGATCCCAGGTGGGAGGTGGCTTGCGCGTAGGATGCGGTTCGTGGAACTGAATGGGCCGTTCGACATGTAGATTTTTCGGGGTGAACTGCCATGCAGAACCCTGAAGCTTCTGCGCGGAGAATCCAGCTGGAATAATGGCGTGCAGGAAGTCAGCCCAAGGAATCTCGCCGACTTGGTCACGCGACTCTGGCGAATGGGACAGGTTTCGGAAAACTCTGCATGCGCGCTTGTCGAGAAGGAGGAATGGTTGGCTCTCAGGTTCGTCATCAGTAGCGTGTTCGATGCGCTCGATTTTGCCGGAAGAACCTGCAAGGCCGTTTGTCTTAGTCTTCGACGAACGTCCTATGCTGAGCTTGTCGAAGGTACCTGCGACCTACTTGGTCGGCTTGTGAAGGCTATGGGGGTTGGACAAAAACACATTCGACTGCTTCAGGAGACGAGCTCTTACTCGATGCGTTGCTACGCTCCACATATGGTGGTGTTCGTTGTAGAGTGCGCTCTAGAGAATGATATCAGAAACAACATCGTGGGGCGTCTTGCCTTCTTTCTGGCGGAGGCGATGGTCAGCTGGGGCAGAAGGCAATCCCGTTAGAGGCCGTTGTCACGAGACTTTTACGCCTGCACAGTCAGTGCGCTGTTTCCGAAAGAAATGAGTGGCCAATCAACAGAGGGGTTTACGTATATATCTCGCTTTCCCAACCTCGAGTCTGAAGCGTTTAGGACGTAATCAACCCCGCATCGATATCACGGCCAGCAAATTATTTCCAAAACGATTCTGTGTAAGACATCAAGTCTTGCTACAATGGGTAGATACTCCAGAATCAAGTCGCAGACCAATGTCGCTATCACTTGGCTCATCGAGACTGCCTTCGAGCACGGTGAGTATCAATGTTGCCTTCCACCACTACCTACGTATCATACCCTCTAACACGACTTTATTGTAGGCAGCAATGTGCAAGTCAGTGGCGATACCAACTCCAGAGCTTCAGCCGCGGCAACGCCTACGAGCACTTCGATCAAGACAGGCCGGTTGAAGGGAAAAGCGCGCAAAGAAGCAAAAAAGAAGGAGCAATTGCAAAGTCAAGCACCCGCACCTAAGATCAAGGCCTCGAACACAATCTACAAAGTGTCAACCGAGGAGATACTTCGCCAAGCTCGCTATCTGAAGAATCTTGACCAGGAACTCGTCATGTCTAAGCCTGCATGGAACGCCTTCAAGGAAGCTGTGCGAGGCCGTACAGAGTACGCCACCAAATTCGCTAACAAACAACCGGACCATGAAGGTAACGCCGGTCACGTATACTTTCTCGATACACTTCGACAGGTAGTCGACATGATCGGAAATGTTGTTCGAGTCCAAGAAACCTCTTTGGATAATTCGGCAAAACGACAAGACACGGATCTGACCTCTCATAATCTGTTTGACGTCCTCCGGGACGTAGAGCTGACCGATGGTGTACAAGGAACAGCCAACCTAACTACACCTCCCGATGAAGGTCTAGCTTACGGAGCGGCTGCAGCTGTACCGTCAGCTCGTTATGAGCCGGCCATCGACTCCGACGAGGAATCACGGTTGCGTTGGCTCTGTTTCAAGGATGACGCTGATTCAATTACATCATGGGTAATCAACCTATGGAAGCAGTACTTTGACCAGTCTGAGGAAGGTGTAAGCTTAGAGACTACATCTCTCCTATCAGATCTAGCGCTCGATCTGTTGTATAAGATCGAAGACGACATGGAGCATAACAACGACAAAGTAAACGAAGCCATGTTCAAGGAGCTAGCCTCACTCTACAATTGGAGTTCGACCGCCCTTGCCCTCTTCGATTTCCGCGTCGCTGCATATGAAGGTAGAGGATACCCGGCTGTAGTAAAGCTGGTACACAAGAGACAACCCCAACTAGGTCTCGATCCGTACAAGGATTTTATCCTATTTGACGCTAAATTTGTACGCTATCTTACAGAGCTACAGCTGGAGATGGTTAGTCATGACAGACTAATTGAGGGCCCAAACTGACTGTTCTCAGACACTACGTTTTGATGGTTGGGAGCAAAATGGACCACCGCCCAACACCAAACGTTGCCTCAGTAATGCAAGTCTCGACCTCGTATCCCGCACACTCGCTGGTCCAAGTCGTAGAAACCAGGAAGCTATTGCCGCAAGCTTTCTAGAAGGGATATGGGGTCTACACAGTCCGAACTTGCATGAGCCTTTCCACCGCGTCGCCCGGCTTGCGAACGTCATATCGGATCAGTCCGACCACTGTCGTTCCGATGGTATATCGTTTCCGGAACGTTCCCAAGACAAGATACATGAGTTTAACACCTTGCTCTCGTGGACCATTGAGTGGCCTGGCCATATCCAGCGATATATGATTTTTCGAGCGATCGACTCCAATCACCCTGCCGCAGCCCTCTCTGGATTCCATCGCAACATCTGGAAGTATCTCGATCTCAGTGTTGCCAGGAAAGAACAACTTATCAGGTCATGCGTATCAATTCCCGACCTCGCAGGGACGGCCGAGGCGCGTCTACAATTTGGCGAGGAACATATTATACCATCGGAAGACCAAGACTTCCTGCGCAAAAACAATCCCCTTACACCGGCAAAGCTAGCTCTCAACCTGCAGTTCCTACGGGCTGAGATTGGTTTCGATTTCGCGAACGATGATCGCAGCTTGTTCCTCATGTGCCATTTGTATAACGCACTTCGGCAACTAGGCTATCTTGAAGTTCCGTGGAAAACGCTCGACTCACTGATCGACATGCACATGAAGACCATATTCCTTGGTGCACTTCCTACGGAAAGCGCAAAGCAGATGAGCAACCGCGTTCTCATCGCGCTCGGATGCGCGCCAGAACTTGTTCGAGCTCGCAACACTGGGAAAGGTCGGGAGGCAACTATCAAGAACCTCGCGGTATTGCGAGAGAAGAGATCTGGCGCCCTGTGCTTCCCACCCAGCATGGCTATCGTTGCAGATCATCTGCATGATCGTGAGCCTCTACGCCGCACATTGACGCGTCTCGATGCTGAGATGGTCGCGAAACACTCTAGAGAGAGTAAAAACTCCCGCATCAAATCGTTCCTCGACGAAGAGAACCCTACCACCGTTCTCGAGCGTCTCCGCAACCATGTCTCAGACTTCCCACGGTACCTAGCGCTCGACTGTGTTGAGCTGACACGCATTTGTGGCGGTCTTCTTAAGAGATTTAGGTCAGATGAGATGAAGGTACTCATGAAGCACGCAGAATTGGACGCAGCACACCAGCAATATGTCGCGTTGCTAATCATTCAAGAGCTCGACATGGAAGAGTATATGACACGACCAGGTATGCCTGTACGGAAATTCGCGCACGCGATAGAAGCCGCGGCTATACTGAAGGAGTACATTGAAGGTGGCGAGGATGCTCGAGCAGCGGTTCAAGACTACGTGCAGCGCAGGTAGTTCTGCTCCGCGATGATGACTCTCATACCGTAAATGTGTGCGCGTAATCTCAGAGACATACCCGCCTAGTACCTAGGTACCCAGTTCCAGAACCAAATCATTGGCCTTCTCTCTTTCCACGGCTCATTATCCTCTAGCAGTTTTCGTCAAGCTTGTCATAGATTACCTCACGCGCACGAAGCACGCCTGTCACCATACATATACAGTATTTCCCAATGAAGCCTTGTTTCATCTCAGTAACCAGTTGTAGAGTTCCCTTAGGCATGCTACATTAAAAGGTTACCACGTCGCCAGCTCGATCTATCCTCCAGGGCTCAGTCCGAGCTAGAGAGTGAGCTATACCCAATGCGGTAAAGTCACTCGGGGGTCCGCACACTCCTTGAGCGCGCCGCAGCGTCCTCAATCTTTCTTCTCCACAACTTCGATGGCGCTCAGGCTTGAAAACAAGAAGTTCGGTTTCCTTCTAACTATGCACTGTCACTTCTCTATCAATCTGGACGAGAATGTGTAAACGTCTTTCAATGCCCGCGGAATCAGCATACGTCCGAATGATGTCACATCGGACGCATTAACCGACGCGGAGGATAGCGCATCAGCACATCATCATGCCATTCGCCCTGTGCTTGCTGAAAGATGTGGGATTGTGCATTTGCTGCTATTATCGTTGCAGCGGGGGACTAAGCACTGCATACCCAAAACAACTCGCACGACCTTGAGCTCACGGCCCACTGGAATATCGACAACGACCAGCATTTAGGTTTCTATTACACGTTCTGAACACCGAAACTTTTAGTATTGTCGCATCACCTATCGAGTTAGATATTCTTTCTCCACGCTGGATACCAGCACTCATCATGTCGTCGACACGCGCCAATGAGCACAACAGCGGGAAACGAAACAGTAACGCATCACAGCTGCCAGTATGGCGCCGAAGACTACGTCGCATAAAGTTACCGATACTCCCAGTTCACAATCAGGAGGGCAATAGAGATCTCGAAGTCACCACAAGCAAAGGCCACCTCTATTTTCTCGACCAGTTTCGCGACAAGGTACCTCTACGCATTCGCAACCGATTTATTGCAATGATCTCTGAGTTCGTGGGAACATTTTTCTTCATGCTCATCGGACTAGGCGGCAACTCGGCCGTCATCAACAACACAGCGGCTGCTGCACAGTTCAATGGAGGCGATGCTTCAGCAGATCCTGCTAAGATCCTGCTCATCGCTACGGTCTGGGGCGTGGCTGTCACGGTCAATGCCTGGACCTTTTTCAGGATTAGCGGTGGACTTTTTAACCCTGCTGTAACTATGGCGTTGGTCCTCATCCGCGCCGTACCACCACTTGATGGTCTTCTCGACGTCTTCAGCCAGCTTGCAGCATCTATCTTGGCAAGCGCCATTGCTTATGGACTCCTACCTGAAGGTGCTCTGGCAGCCACTGAGCTGGGAGAGAACACAACAGTCACGCAGGGGCTGTTCATCGAAATGTTCATTACCGCCCAGGTCGTTGTGTCCATATTCATGTTGGCGACGGAAAAGCACAAGGCTACATTCATCGCGCCTGTCGGTATCGGATTAGCTGTATTTGCATGCGTTCTCATGTAAGTCTTCCCTGTTTGCTCCGCAGCTATTTGTAGTCAGCACTGCACTACTAGGGCAAGTTACTCATGAACTATAGGGCTTCAACCTACACCGGCGCAGCAATCAATCCAGCTCGCTCTTTCGCGGTCTGTGTGGTACAAGGAAGCTTTCCTCACTACCATTGGATCTATTGGGTCGGTCCGGGGCTGGGTGCGTTGTTAGCGACTGCTTTCTACCAGTTGATACGCAAGCTGGAGTACTGGACGGTGAACCCCAACGTCGACGACTACGAGACGAAGGTCGGCGAGACCATTCGAGACGTCGCGAGTAGAGTGGCAGACATATCAAATGTTCCAGGCACAAGGTCAAATGATCCGGCGAGGATGCCGGAGGGACTGTGATTGCTTGACAGGTACACTGAGACCAAACAATGACGATTTGGGTCTCTTCTACAGTATATTCGGTGCTTCTACAGATACGCAAATAACATGTATGCAAGGATGTAGCTAGACACATTGGAAGCGTCCACAGGTAGCAAGAGAGTATTGCGGCACCACTACAGCCATGACCGTCTGGATCAGTCGCAACAGAACGGTAGCTTTAGTCGTCAGTCCGGTCTTAACTCCAAGAAAGAAACAATGCGGACGCGATAAGGTCGGACCTGCTTGGTGCACGGGCCATTCGGTACCGTAGCGTGCCCGAAATCTGGCAAACCCCAGATGCCATCACCATCCACCAACATGCCCAGGTATGGAGCAATCCCAATCTCTTTGACGAACGCCAGGCTCTACACTCTTCACTGACCTTCCTATTCAACATTACTGCGCCGCTTGCAAAGGATGCGGGCAACACGAGGCGTCCACCGCAGACCTTGTTTATCCGAGATGCCGGTTGCTGGTGCCTCTTGGCGGGGACGCAGCGCGCCTTGGGAGGCTTAACACCTGCTCAATGCGGCAACTACGATGCGCATATCAATTAGACTGATAGATGCCGTGGAAGGTAGATAAATAGGTCCGTTGGCTGGCCTGAGCACGACAGGTGCTTCGTTGCATTCGTCTTGAGTTTCTACCCGACGTATCGTTCTTGCTTCTTGCAAGTGCGTCGCCATGCGCTCTTTCGCGATCCTCGCTGCGGCGCTGCCGTTGATTCACGCCATCGACCCTCCGCGCATGCCACACCAACCTCTCGGCAATGGCACAAAGCGTCTGAGTTACAATGAGACCACCAACGCTCCTGGTTCTTTGACGCCCTCAACCCGATCTTTCACCTGGGTTGGCACCGGAGAGGATGGCGATTACATCTACACAGCCGCGTCTGGAGACTTTGTCTTCGAGAACGTCGCCACTGGCGAATCCTCAACTTTCATCTCGGCTGATCAGGTCCCGGCTGACTACTGGGACTACTTCATCTCGCCCGATGCGACCAAAGTCATGTGGGCCGTCAACTACACCAAGCAGTACCGCCACTCTTACTTCGCCGACTACCTGATCATGGATGTTGCGACTGGAGAGTCCGTATCTCTTGACCCCGAGTCCGTCGGCGATATTCAGTACGCTGAATGGAGCCCGGTTTCGTCATCTCAGGTTGCATTCGTCAAGGGCAACAACCTGTACATGTCCACCAACGGCACCATCTCCCAGATTACTGAGGATGGAGGCCCCGACTACTTCAACGCTATTCCTGATTGGGTCTACGAGGAAGAGATCTTTGGCGATCGCTACACTCTGTGGTTCTCTCCCGATGGAACTAGGATTGCTTTCCTCAGCTTCAACGAGACTGGCGTCGGCACATTCAGAATCCCATACTATATTGAAGACGATGCGGAATACGTTCCCGTCTACCCCAACGAATTGGAGCTCCGCTACCCCAAGGTTGGCACCAAGAACCCCACGGTGGTCATGAACTTGCTTGATGTAGAGTCTGGCGAATACACCAATGTCCCCATTGATGCTTTCCCAGAAGACGACCTCGTCATTGGCGAAGTTGTCTGGCTTACCGAGGAGCACAGTAAGGTCATGTACCGCGCTTACAATCGTGTTCAAGACATGGAGAAGCTGGTGCTTGTTGATGTTGAAGCTGGATCTTCCAAGGTCACTCGCGAGCGTGACGGTACCGATGGATGGCTAGAGAACTTAATGCAGGTTCGATATATCGGAGCTGTCGAGACTGCGAACGCCAGTTACGGAAACGCTACCGAGTACTACATGGATCTTTCTGATATGAGCGGCTGGGCGCATATCTACCTCTTCCCCGTCAGCGGCGGAGAGCCCATTGCGCTGACATCTGGCGAATGGGAGGTTCTCAGTGTTCTCAAGGTTGACTACTCTCGCGGACTCATCTACTACACCTCCACCGAGCACCACAGTGCTGAGTCCCACATGTACTCTGTCAGCTTTTCCGGCGAGAAGACTGCCCTGGTCGACGATACCGTGACCGCTTTCTGGACCGCATCTTTCTCTTCCGGTGGCTCATACTATGTCTCTCGTTATGCCGGTCCCGACGTGCCATACCAGGAGCTCTACTCCATCAATTCCACCGAGCCAATTCGCACGATCGTCAACAACACTGCGCTTTACGAGAAGCTTCAGGGCTACGCTCTTCCCAACATTACGTACCTTGATATGGAGCATCCTTCCGGATACACCCTTGATGCCATGCTCCGTCTTCCTCCCAACTTTGACCCCAGCAAGAAGTACCCTCTCATCCTCCTTCCGTACGGTGGTCCCAACGCCAAGGAGGTACAAAAGTCCTTCAACGCGCTCAACTGGAAGGCTTACATTGCATCTGATCCCGAGCTCGAGTACGTAACTCTCACCGTCGACAACCGTGGTACCGGTCGTAAGGGTCGTGCTTTCCGATCTCTCGTCACCTCTAACCTCGGTGAACTTGAGGCTGAAGACCAGATCTGGGCTGCCAAGGAGATGGCAAAGAACGAGTGGATCGACAGCGAGCACATTGGTATCTGGGGTTGGTCGTACGGCGGCTACCTCTCCTCCAAGGTCGTTGAGGTCGGTGACCCAATCATCAGCTACGCCATGATCACCGCCCCTGTCAGTGACTGGCGTTTCTACGACTCTCTCTACACCGAGCGTTACATGAAGACACCCGATATTAACCCCGAAGGCTACAACCGCAGTCGTGTCCACGACGCTACTGGCTTCAAGAACATTGCTGGTGGTGTTGTCATCCAGCACGGTACCGGTGATGATAACGTGCACTTCCAGAACTCGGCTGCGCTAGTCGACCTTCTCATGGTCAACCAGGTCACTCCTGAGAAGATGCAGAACACCTTCTTCACCGACAGCGACCACAGCATCAACTTCCACAACAACGGCAAGTTCCTGTACAAGCAGCTGAGCAAGAAGCTATACGAGGAGAAGGCTCGCAAAGGTGACAGCTTTGGCGGACATCAGTGGAGCAAGAGGGCTTTGGGACGGAAGTGGAGGGCTTGAACGCGCTTCATGTTCAGTCAAAAGTCATGTAATCTTTAGTTCCAACAATGCCATAACGTAATGACTATTCAGAGGTCTACCAACTCTCACTTCACATCTCATCTTGTCAAGCACCTTCTTCACTATTTACCTTGTTTCGAACGGTTATGTCTTCTTCGAAGTCGTCATCATATCGTTTCGAAGAAAAAACGCGTCCAGATCGACAGTGCCGCATCGAGAGCGCCATGCGTTAGGGCATCAGGGTCTGCAAGGCGAATTGCCGCTTCTACAGCTGACGTGTGTGTGTGTCTAGGTGAATAACCGAATCAGCAAGGGTGACAATCAACGCTGATTCCTAAGACAAACGCGATTTCTAGTCGTATAGTGAAGAATCTAGCACTCGCTAGTCGCATTGCGCCCGTCCTAGATTCCAATCACTAACAAACAAACCAGCGATATAACACAACTTGGAACGATCCAACACCGCCACCACATCTGCTGAACGATCGAACAGACCTCTCCCGAACGACCAAAATGGCAGACCAGACTAGCCTTTCGATGACGCAGCGAGAAGACACGCCGAAACCCAACTCTCAGAAGTTCCAACACATGAAGACAGTATCCAGTCTTGCGGATGGACACCGCTACGCACTACAGTACTTCCCCGAAGAGCTGCAAGCGCTGCTAAACATAGCCTCGCTCAAGCTCGACGAGCGTGTCCCTGGTCACTTCGGCGCGATCCTAGGATGGCAGAAAGATTCTGGAGAAAAGTCTGAGCACCCACGGGTGACGATGAAACCCTTAGAAGTTCTCTGGGATCTTGAACACCGTACTATAGTACTGTCCGATTCGTTTCCATTTAGTAGGAGTACTTGGAAGATTGTCGACATTAATGGCGAGGAAGCACTACCAGTATTGCGGCGCGACTACGATCTTGTACCGCCATTCTCCACTATCCTCACAGTGGTTGACCAGGAGCACTTGGTCTTACTTGAGGTGTTCTTCCGCTACAGTCTCCTGGTGCAGGGCTTCGACGACGCTATTGAGGGGTTCAAGAATGAGTTTTGGCTTTGTTTCGAGAAGCTTTGTCGCCATGTCGCAGAGCAAACGTCGGCAGCCAATGCGCAAGAAAAGGAGGACGAAGCGTATTCATCCGAGAAGGCTGCGCCGTCTACACCTGCTCAGACACAAGACACAAAGCTTGATAGCCTCACCAGCGAAGCCGATACTAGCGAGCATGTACACCAAGAAAGCAGTACAGCGCCGGAGACCAAGGGGGAACAGGCGGAGGCTACCGGCGACCATATTGAAGAACAGCTCGCAAAAGCGCATAAGGAAGCAGCCGGGTGGAAAAAGGCTTATGAAGGTGAGAAGAACTTCTCAGCAAAACTAAGGTTTGTGTTACGTAAGCACGTGGCAAGGAATGATGAGCTTAAAGCCAAGCTTAAAGAGCGAGAAGGGGAAGTGCAAGAGTGGAAGGAGAAGTGTGAAGCCTTGTGCAAAGAGAGGCGGGAGACTTAAGCTATCTTATCCGTTTACAGATGTAGCTGGTCGCATAAAATAGGAGTGAGAGAAGGTCGGTCAAGTAATATTATCTAACGACTAGTATTGAGCACACATACTCGCTGAAGAGTTCATATTGAGCCCACATCTCGTGTTCTCGATATTGATAGCCCTGCAAACATCACAGCTACTTGAAGCCACCTTGGCCCCTACTGACCCTCACCTTATCGGGTGACAGGTCTCAATAAGTTTCACTACTTCGACCATTGCCATCATCTGCAAACCGGCGAGGCCTCCAATTGCCTCCACCGCTACTGGGCCTGCTTCTATCACCCCTGCCGTATTGTCCTCCATCACCGCCATTATCGGAGCTCTGATAACTACCTGGACTATTCATTACAGGACTAGAACGCTCTGAGCTCCTACCCCTACCATATCCGCCTCTGCCTTCAAATCCACCTCTTCCG